AAAAAATTATAGTTGCCTATGGATGAAGGCTACTTTAGAAGATTTTTAAAAAGTCTGGCTGCTTGGAAGCTAAATGTAAGGAAATTAGGAGTGGTTTACCATTTTTGTATGGTACAGTAGCTATTTTAAATAATTTGTTTAAGGAGGAGCTGTTTGTAACGGTGTTCGGTGTATGGTGGACATGACGAACTCCTGGTTCTGCACAGTGTTAGTGTTTTATTAGAAAAAACACATCGTTTTGCTTTTTATGTGAAACTTGTGCAGAGTAGCACCTTGAATCTTAAAGCGAAGCCAACACGCTAAAACTGCATTTATTCACGCAGAACACCCATGATGCCAGACAAAAAAAAACACACTCAAGATGGGAAACAATATCTGCTCTGCGCATTGATTGCAGATAAAAACTCTATTAACGCTCTTTTCTCATCGTCCAGCTGCACGTTACCTTTTGCAGCTCTCTATGAACCATCTGCAGACATTTTCCTGGCCTTTACTTTATGTTAATCAAAGTATCCTGTACCTCACAGTGTCTCTCCATTCTCCTGCTGTTGCTCAGCAACTATTGCCTTTTTCTTTTCTTCTTCACTTTATTTGTTTATCGATCCTAATTTGTTCTCTTAAGCCGCTTGACACTTTGAAAACCCACACAATTGGAACCTAAATTCAAGTTTTATTGTGTATCTTAGTTAATTTGTCTTCAATAAAAGCGAACCGTTACGACTGTCATTTATGAGCACAATGGAGTCGTTTAAAACGTGCAGACAACAGTAACGTGCACACGGGGTGCTGTCAAAGTCTTTTATACGTGGTGAGAAATATTGCACGATTGAAAACTAGTCGGGACAGGAGCGCTTCTTTATTGTGCAGCCTGCGATGCGTTGTTGTTGCTGGAGCGGGAGGCCACAGGGCAGCAGGCTGAGTGATGGTGGCTGCAGGCCGCATGCGCTTGTTAAAAAAGTTTCATTCCCAAATTTACTAAAAAGCAATGCTGAAACTGCGCTGGTCCATTCGCCACACCTGACGAAGGCACGCAGCTCTTTAACTTTACTAACTGGTGTTGCACACTTTGGCACCATGCAGTTTTTGAAAATAAGCTTTAGGAAATTAAAGGCTTAATTGATCTGCACCTTTGCTTGTAGGACTACTAAGACGAGAACGAACACATTTTATTTTATCCGTCAGCCTGAACTTAACAAAAACTGCACAAGAACTGAATAAGTGCAATTTAAAAAAAGACAACTTGTGTAATATCAATCTGCTTGTGTTGCACATTTGGGGTGTTTAAAATAACGATTAAATTTTATCGGAATGGTGGCGCAAAGGTTAGAGAAGGTAGGCCTGTGATCGGAAAGTCACCGGTTCAACTCCCCGGACCAACAACATCAAAATGTGGGTGGAAAGGTGAAGCACTCACACCTGCCTCCACCTTCATTTGCCCCACTTGCTCCTGAGCAAGGTCCTTAACCCTCACGATTGCCCCACTGGCAGCACGATGGATCAGTGGTTAGCACTGTTGCCTCACAGCAAGAAGGTTCAATCCCTGGTTGGATCTAGGGTCTTTCTGTGTGGAGTTTGCATGTTCTTCTCGCGTTTGCGTGGGTTTTCTCCGGGCACTCCGGTTTCCTCCCACAGACCAAAAACATGCATGTTAGTCTGCCTTCAGGCCCAGACCTCCCTTGTAAGAGATCTGTGATCTCAGTGGGATTTGCCTGGTTAAATAAAAGGTTAATAAAAATGTGCTCCACCGTGCACCATAGATGTCAGCTCTCTGCTCCACACAGAGGCTGTGGTAGCTCGGTGGTCTGTGGTTGTGTCAGGAAGGACATCCGGCGTAAAATCAATTACCAAGTCTTCATGTGAGTTAACTCACTATGACGACCCCTGAAGAAGAAGAGAGCAGCTAGAAGGAGAATATTACACACATATACATTATATAT